TAATGCATAAACCTTCGAGGCGCGAGGCCCTTCGGACCGTGAGGCATAGGCGGTGGCCCACGTTGCCCATGCCTTACGCCGCCCTTGGTCATAGAAATGATGTAATTTGAATATAAATTATTTATAAATACGTATGTCAAGTTATATTTTTATTACGACGCAAAATATATTTAAGAGTTTACGACAACTGTGCCGGGTGAGACGTTGTTGAAACAAAAAAAGTTAGGCATTCCATCACGTACATAAACAGTGTCGTAATTCGCCAAGTGCTAATCAGCAAATTCGTAAAATTTTTGTTTATTTTGAACAATCCGGATAATAAAGGTTCGGATAATCGAAGTTCTACTGTATTTTTAAAATTTCAAGTAGAAATTTTTATTTCAAGAAATATTCATTTTTAATACATAAATGCATAGTAAGATGCATCAAAATTTATAAATCTTTATATGTAATTGTTATTATCATTAGTACATTATAAAATATTTATTAAAATATATTAATAACCAAATTTTTTTTATTAAAATATTTACGGATAAAGCAACGTTTTGATATTTTTGAAAATAGTGACATAAAAAAGTAGTTTTTAAGGTTGAGTATAGTAGAAACTTTACACGCAACTGTTTGATCAGATGCTAGTGATAAAATTTTATAATAAAAATATTATTTTATTAAGGAAACAGCACAGAAAAGTAAAAAGAAATTTACGTCAAACTCTGAAGAAATACGTTAATTTTAACCTTGTGTTCTGTTAAAATAGTATACACGTTTGAACGTTCTTCCTTTTCAAGTTTTTTTCAAAGACTTTAATTTTTATATTTTTATTACAGAAAAAAAGGAAACAAACTTAGAAAATCCTTAATTGTTATTAATTATTCTCATAAAATGCTATTTAAATTGATCAATAAGTAAACCATTTACGGCAATCGATTATGATAATAACGGATTGGAATCAACACGTCTTGCAGTTTTTCAAATTTTCTTTACCTGTCCACACTTAAAATGCAGTCTGTTTCTTATCGAAATTCTTATTGGGTAGCATTTCCCTTGGCAAATTGCTAGTATGTTACGTTGCAGAAAATCTATTGATTGAATGCAATTCGAATTTAATGTAAACGTTTTAAAACATCTGTATATATGAGAGATATTATTTTTGTTAAGTATAAAATGATAAAACTAGAAAATTCAATTATTTTGTTTTATGATTTAACTGAAAATAATTATCTAATTCAGACAATATTAAATATGTTAATCATAACCACTTTGTTACACAGAGAAGCATAGAAACGATTTCCTATGTTGCGTGATGTACGGATAGATTTCGTGACACATGCAATTCTGAATTAATTGTCATACAGGAGATATCGTTTTAATTAAGTTTAACAGTTCAACTTACATACGTTGTCACTTAATTAAAATGTGGGTGTGATTTAGTGGTTTATTTGTACGCGACACCTGTTCGACCTGCCGAAGGGGGTTTTAGACTAATAAAACCCTTTTAGATAATTAGATCTTTTCACCTAATGTAAAATTTTAAAGAATAATTTCCATGTTAGACTCTTCTCGCACCCTAATTTAGGTAAAAACAATTTCAATCTCCATTTAAACAATCACCTGAAAGTTTTTCCTTGTTTGTGGAGAATTTTATATGATAAATTCTGGTAACAAATTGCTGAGAAATTATAAATTTTAATTTTATTATTACAATATAAAAATAATTGTCTGTGAAACACCATATAAAAGTATACTTTTTCGATAAGATTAGCAAGTAGTGAATATAACTAAAAACATATTTACTCCTTCCAATTATTGAGTAATCAGCAAATTAATAAAAGTAAACAATTTAATTGTTGTAAAGAACCTATTTTACAAAGAAACAGTTGGTAACAAACAGAATTATTTTATTCTATTAATCAATTTGGAACGTCTGTAAAACTGGTTTTTCCTTTAATTCTCGAAGTATTGCTGTGTAACATAAAGACTGTCTATAAATTTTTTACAGGATTAATATATTCAATAAGACAAACCCCTAACAGGTATAAGGTTAGGTATTTTGTACCTGATATGGTAATTCAAAACGTACTTTGTCATATAATAATAAGAGCCTAAGAAGTATAGTAATTTTTAAAACACTATTTCTGAATGGTACTAAGGAAATGCTAATGATTTTAATATTTTGTAATTACGTATTTTCTAATAATTGAGCGAAGTCCTTCATAATTCAGAAAATGTTTTGCCTGTAATCGTAGTTTAAAGCAAACGTGCGATCATTACAAAAACTGAGGAAGGGAAATACAATAAGGATCATGATGTAAGTAAGACTAAAGGTTATGTTATTTTTAATTGTAACTTTAAAATACACTAAAAAGTACAATTTGCTAACAAGAGATGGCGATATACACATGTAAACAAGGGAAAGTGGACAGAGGTTATGTGAAACTACAAAACCAGTGTTCCAGAATTGGGATATTCAACAGGTGGCTCGAACATATAGTTTTACAGAATTTTTACAAATCATATAAATATAATTAATTGCAGTTATTGTCATATGGAAACAATAGTTACAGTTATTTACATTGATAGACTTATTCGTGGTACTGAGGCTGTAACTATATCATAACTTCAGTATCACCTATTGGATTAACTTATTATGTTTAGATTTAACTGAATGGAAAACTCTTAACAACAAAAATCAAATTCACAAAATATAATGAATCTGAAATTATATTATACCATATAAGATTTCTTTGGAATATAACAGTCTTTTATATTTTTAAATAAGAATAATTTCCAACTTTTCTATTCTCCTATTTTTAATAATTAGTATAACTATTGTTTCTCTAATCCCAATAGAACTACGCCTGTTATATCGATCAGGACTTTCTCAGATATAACTTAATTGAATCACTTTATCTAAATTATCATTATATGTGTATTTTTTATTATCTTTTATATAATAATTATTTCTTATAATAATTCATTTTCTATTGATTTTCTCCTGTTTAATTATTACTATTACTTTTTTCCTTTCTTCATCATTGAAATCGCTTTTCTTTATCCAGAATTCTTTAATAATCAAGTTTCCCAAAAATGTTTTTATAAACTAATTAACTTCTTTAACGTAATCAGTAGAATTAAACGGAAAATTTAAAATCGTAATGATTCTATTATTTCGTAAATACCATAAACAGAAATGTTGATTTTGATAATAATATTAATATCTATATATTTTTCCACACAATATTATTTGTGTTTTATTATCGCTAAGCACCTTATTTAAATATTTATGTACAATAGTTTAATAGTGAGTAAGTTTTTGAAACTTCTGTTTACCATGTAAATAAAAATAAATACATTTTAATTTTACTTTTTATTTAAACCATAATACAGTTTAAAAAATCTAACGTTGCCAAATGGCTTCGTAGACGCTTTTTTTCCCTAAATATTCCGTTTTGAAATGAAGGTTGAAGACGAACCTTCATTTCAGTATATAATATTTAAATGACAGAAAATGCATGTTAAATTTAATAAATTTGCACGTTTAGTTTCTTTTCTCGTAAATAATAACATAACCTAAAACAATATAATTGTATATTATTCAAAAATGTGTAATTTCCAATTCTGAATCTTGTTTCAGAGAAGCCATAAATGCTTCTGGATCATCGGAATAACATTTAAATTTTTCTTCCGATTTCTCTAGAAACTTCTTAACTTTTTCGTCTTCAAAATCTTCACCAATATACGTAAATTTGCCTTGACTGAAGTGCTTATTTCTTTCCTCTTCGTACAATCTCAAATATTCTTCGTTTTTGCGAAAGAATTCTTCATTGGCTCTAATCATATTATTGAATTCACTCTCATCGGAAGGCAAATTCCCTCCCAATTCCAAAGGCAAATAATCCGGATGGATAAATTCGTGCAAAGTAGACATGTCAGAATGAAAATGCAACTGCAAAATGAAAACATGTTATGAGAAATTAGTGAAACAGTATATGAAGTACATAAGTAAATTGATATTTGTAAATACGTCAATTATAAAGTATTCGTAACCTAAAAATTAATTTGTAAAATATGGTTTTACTAGCTGTTATTCGCGACTTCGTCTGCGGAGGTTTTGCAAGCAAACCCCATTTACATTCAATATTTCAATAACCATAGTAATTGTTATATAACTTCTACCGCTGAGAATGATGAGAATTGCCGAGAATCAAACGAACTATTTTTAATTTGATCAATTTTCTGGAACGTTTACAATCGTTCTATAATCGAACCAATATGCGATAATAAATTCGAATCTAAAACGGTTCGAACATTTTCAAAATCGAAATAGATAAAAATATTTATAACAATGTCTGAAATGTTATTAATTTAATACACCTAAGTACTCGATGAAGACTAAATTCTCTCCCTCTCCTGCCGGTGGGGGAATTTCGAAAAATCTCTTCTTAGTGTGCATTGCCACGGTATACCCTACTAAAACGCAGATAAAAACAAAAAATCGCATCTGAAATAGTGCAGTAGAAGCCGTTTTTCCGGTTAAGCCTTAATACTCTCCCCCCTCCCGCGGGGGAATTTTAAAAAATCTTTTCTTAGTGTACGTTTCCATGACGTACCCTAATAGTCTACCAAATTTCACCTCTTTAGGTTAAGCGGTCTGCTCTGTGCGATGATGAATCAGTGAGTGAGTGAGTCAGTCAGTCAAGACAAGCAATTCTATATATTTAGATTTGATGCTATCAGATACTATACATTATATTTCTATTTTTCAGACCAGTGTTGTGAACAAGTTTGATGTCATTGAGAATCGAAACAACAAGAACACAAAGAGTAACGGGAGCAATGAATACTTGAAACAAAACATATTTGTGGAAAATACCGATATACTCTTTAAAATCCTCGCATATTAGGATGATACTTCACAACTGTAAAGTCAATAATTTATAAACAAAAAAATTACGATAAAAAGAGTCAAGAACAATCTGTGACATCTCGTGAAATAGTGCTGTCAAACCAATACTTTTTACAAATATTATGTTGCGTCATGATTTTCATCAGCCAGATGTTATTGATGTACAATACGTTGTTACACTCTCATATTTTCGCATGTTTTTACGCAGCTGAAAACTCGTCGTTTTTGAAAAATTTAACACCATCGTTAAGTGTTTACGTCAACAAGTTTTTACACAACTTTAAAAATATCAATAATAATGTGTTTTTTTAAAATATGTATTTAGAGTATTTCATAATTTAGATAAGATAACGTCACTTTCCAAATTTAATTAGAATCAAACATGGCGATAGGGATAAACACGAAACACTCTACCGGAACCATCACGGACAGTTTATATCCTCAATGGTTTGGGGTTCATATTTTGGTATATTCAGCAAGGCTTTTTAAAATTTTCTACAATATTAGGTTGGTGATGATTATCTATGTCTCATAATCCAAGTTTCTTCTACAGGGAGAGTGAAGATCTTCCTAAAACTCCGTATCGTTGAGTTGGTTTCAGTGTGTATCACGATCCAGGTTCGATGGAAAACACACTTCCACACTCAAGTTATACAATATTTATAGTTTATTTACAGATTCTATACGTAGAGTGTAGAAGTTCGAAAACATAGTGTATATGTTACCGCTAAAGCTCAAAATCCGTTAATGTGTACATTACCTAGCTAATCTGCAGATTAACTAGGGTGATCCGTTAAAGCTGCGAAAATTGTTCAATTTCTCAAATTACCTAGGTAATTTGCAGAGTATCTGGGTAATCTGCACATTAACGGCTTCCGTATCGTTAAAGTTCAAAGGTTTGTTTCTTTCACTTCCTTTCCCCACTCCTTCTTTTTACGTAGATAAATTTAAATCCTAGAATGCAAGCAAGCACCGAATTGGTGAGTAAAATCAAGAAAAGATTCTTCGCAAACCTCTTTAGCGAAGATTTAAAATATAATACGTAGTGTTTTAATAACAAACCAAAGTATGATTCCATAATTGAAGATGTAAAGCAAATAAAAGTTTCCAAGAAGAAAGAATCATCTCGAGATTATCAAATAATTCAAAGGTGTGATGTGTTGACTGTACGAGGCTGTGAAAAACTCATTGAGCCGTTGTCAGATGCGCGAGAAAGGTTTGAAAAAGTTTGTCCATGCCGGAGAATTGTTTGACATTCGATAAAAACTGAAGAAGACCTTGAAAAATTAGAAGATTCACAAGAGACTGTGATTATGAGATCACAGTCAAATCTTACTCAAGAGGACATTCCGTTATCCCCCGCTTCTACAGAATCACCTATAGAAATACAAGAATTTACCGATAGTAATCTTAAACTGCCTTCTATACCGTTGATTGATGATGCAGTCACGAAGAATATTCAGTTACCCTGCACCTCCAAGGAATCGCCTCTGCAAGTTGAAGAAGTCATCACTGAGTTACTCTCAACTTCAGCAGAATCGCCATCACAGTTTCGTACGGAGCCTGTAAAGAGCACTATACAAGACATAGTCTGTATTGTTTGCTCAAAAGCAGCATCAAGTGCTCACAAGTGTAAATCGTGTAATATGTTTGTTCACGCAGTTTGTGGTGAAGTAGATCCTAAAGAGGAAGGGTATGGTAAGAATGTATTGTGCATCATCTGTAAAAAGAATATGGATCAGAAAATACAGCGTGATGAAGCCAAGAAATGTTTAGAAAAGCAAGCAAAGAAAATGTTAGCAGTTTCTAATGCAAAGCACCCAAACGTCGATGAAGGTTTCGCTGTGAGAATTAAAGTACCCGAAGAAGACAGAGCAAAAACTGATGCACGTTCAATTTTAGCTGTGGTTCTTAGTAAAACAGAGGATGGCTTTTATAAACTTGATACTAAAACAGGTATTTTAAAACAATTGTATGCAAAATCTGAATTCAGTGTTTGCAAAGAGAGATTTTTAACGAAAGAAGATGGATGTCCCTGCTGTAGAAATATCTTTACGTCAAACAGCAATAAAACAATCCCTTGGTACTGGGCAGGGTTTCAGAAAATGTGACTGCAAATCTAAATGTACCACAAATAGGCGTGCTTGTCGCAAAAACCAATTGCTACGTAATTCAAAGTGTCACCAATCTTTAGATTGCACTAATAAGTAAGTACAATTTTATCATATGTTTTGCAAATTCATTTCCCTAATTGTAGTAATATTTTAAACCGTTTGATTTTTGTATTAAAGTTTTTTTAATTGATTGATGATTGATTCAATCAACTAATTTGCTGATTGTTTGATTGTATTAACTTGATTCTTTAGATATTGAAAATGAAATAAATAACATTATGTTAATTTAAGCGTACAGAAACGTTGCTGTTGTTCCAGCAAAAATCTTATTTTAACTTTACCGAGTGCCTAGTAGGTAATTCGCAGATTACCTAGATAATCTGAACATTACCTAGGTAATTTGAGAAATGGAATAATTTTCGCAGCTTTAACGGATCACCCTAGTTAATCTGCAGATTACCTAGGTAATTTGAGAAATGGAATAATTTTCGCAGCTTTAACGGATCACCCTAGTTAATCTGCAGATTAGCTAGGTAATACGCACATTAACAGATTTCGAGATTTAGCGGTAACATATATAAAATAACAAAGCGTGGGCCTCACGTACTAGATTGGCTTCCGGAAACTGTTAAACTTTGGAGAGGCCTCAGTCAGCTTCTAGAGTTGGCTCAACTGCACGGTCCGTCCAGTCTACGCACTACCCTGAGATAGTTACCAGAGAAGAATGCTCTCTCTAAGCTCAGAGGGCTCCCCAAATGCCTGAGACTACCGTGTTACCAGTCTCTTGCCTTTCTCTCTTCCCGCTCCCGTTCGCTCCGTAATTTAAGGGATTTTTGGACAGAAACTTCCGACCAATCACAACCCTTTCTTTCGTGAACAGCTTACGCTCTAGTCCGCTGTTATCCGACGAGAGTGGAGCTTACATTAACGTCCACTACTTGTTTACGTTTAGTAGTTTACCATATGGCAAATGGTCTATCATCTGACCGCACGTGAGTCCAATTGACAAGGTCGCGCTTCTTATGTTCTCTGCTAAAAGGACAATACTTTACAGGGAGAAAATATTGTACTTTACTAACTGTTTAACAATTGTTAAAAAACATAAAATTATTGAAAATATGAAATTAAATTACATTTTTGTACTTACTCTTTCCTTGAGTTTAGTTGGCATAAGAGGAATCATCATAGTTAAAATTGCTTTTGTTATAATATTCATGTTGACATAATGTGTTTCCTTGTATCGAAGCGGATAAGTATCTTTCTAAGAATACATAAAACATTATTTTAAAAAGTATTTATTAAACTTTATAAAAATTAATTTTTTTATTAAATACTATAAATATGTGACTTATTAGAACCATGCAATATAATAATAAAAGTTGCAATAAAAATTAGTATCATCATTAGTAATGTATAACGTATTATTATCGTTATTTACACAATAAGTCCTTCGGATACTTTTGTATTTACTTGCTTGATATGTATAAGAAGATTACGTAGTGTGAAGTTAATAATTACGTGATTTCTATATTTTTTTGAGTATTTAAAATGTATTTTGTGTAGAATGTAATTTATAATATTTTCTTTTGTTGTTATTTTTACTCCAGTTAGATAACAACAGGACAGACGGACAGCCCAATTAGAAATTTATTAATTTAAATTAGTAGTGGATTTTACTGAGCCGAACTACTTATTGCTTGAATTCCATTAATTAATCGAACTAATACTTGAGTAACTTCTTTAATAATTCATGGAAAGTAAAAATATTGTTTAAAAATAGATTAAAGTTATGAACGATAACTTGTGAAAAGAACAGAAAGATAATTTGATACCCTAAAATGATTTAGGATAATATAAGGTTGGTAACTGAAAATGGTCGAACACTAAATATAAGCAAACAATTAGGGGAGACCGGGGCAACTTCGGCATGCGGGGCAAGTTTGTCAAGCGCTTTTTTTTAAAAACAAATTAAAAGGAGACTTTGGTTATAGGTTAGGCAGTTGAGTTTTATTGGTGGCTTGTTGAGTGTAGTGTTTTTATTGTTCTCCAACAAGCGTAGTTGAATTATCAAGCAAATTTTCATTTTCGTTCAATTCCATATAATATTTTTTTTCCATTTATATTGAATTGGCAGGTTTTGTTATAATTCCATGATAACGAAAGTTACTTTTCCTGTTAGAAGGATGTAACTTCAACTTATTCACGTGGCCAGATCGTGGCTTGGCATTCTGTTCTCAGGGTTGTACTTAATGTTTCGAAATCATGACTAGCGGGGTAAGATCGGCAACATAAAGCCACATTAGAAGCAAAGGATAAAAATCAAACAGATGATAAATGAAAACATGTTTGCATTTGTTATTCATGTATATATGTCTTTGAACTTGCATTTCGTTGTAATAATATTAAATGGGTGTTGGATTTGTATTTCTTTGTTTTAATAGTGAATTCCAACTTATACATTGTTAATAACATAATTTTATATACGTGCCTATCTTGCCCCATTACTGTTGCCCCTATACCAGGGGCAACTTTAATAAAAATAATTAAAATAATTACAACTTTACAAAAAGAGAGAAGTTGCCGATCTTGCCCCTATACCCGGGGCAACTTCGTCAATTTCTCTCTTCTTGTAAAGTTGTAATTATTTTAATTATTTTTATTTCCAAACTGATTTTAACCAGTTCTATAGTAAGGTAACATTCCAATAGACAATATGCAAAGCTTTTTTTTCAGTTTACAGCAGTATTTATTACACAAAATTTAAGTAAAGCTTAACATGCTGATCTTGCCCCGGTCTCCCCTACATCTTTGACCTCTTACGGTTTGTCTAAGAAGAATCAGTAAAAAAAAATATGCAATTTAAGAACAAAGAGAAAAGGATGTACTAAATTTCTAACAAGTGCCGGATTCAAAGTCAAAACGTATAAACTTTGTAATGTTATAATTCGCGAAGCTTATAATTAAGTGTATAATTAAGTGTATTAAATTATCTGTTCCCTGAATTTTCATACATGTGTTGTAAGTATAGCTGAAGTTATAATGAGAACACAGCAAGTCTGCTGTGTTCTCATTATAACTTATTTTCTATATTACAAGAAAAATAATTTATTAATTTTAAACAATTTCTTACCAATAAAACGTTCAGTATTGAATTAAAAAAACTTGGTGACATCTGCAGAAAATGTGATAGTGTTATACCACTAGCATCCACAATCACAACCATACAATTCTCTTGAGTTCGATGAAAATTTAACATCAAGTCGAAGATAAGCATTGTTGTACGAAATGCATCTGTCATATTTGCAACAGAAGTATCCCATTTACCTAAGAAAATCAATTGTTTAATATGACAATATAGCATGGTTAGAAGGATAATTGTATTAAATTTAATATAAAATTTCTTATAATTAATTTCGCCTATTTTGTTTTAGTTAAAACCTAACAAAATGTAGTCCGTATTGTTATAATTGTTTTGTGAAGAAGTTTCACCATAATTAAGTAGAATAATCCCCAAAAAATATTATATATCTGCAATACGAACAATTGTCTCTAACGTAATATTTAACGGAAAAGTAAAAAGAGTTCAAAAAAATGAAAACAAAGATGAATTAATTGTTAATAATTTACAGTAGTACTAATTATTGGACGTCCGACGTACAGTACATGTTTTTGCGTTGAAAACATCGGCCGCAACCTCGCTAATAACAAGTAAAATCGACATTAAATCTTACCCCACTGAAGATACACACGATTCCCTTTATCTCCTCACTCCGTCGACTTTTAATCACAAAAATTGAATATCATTAATTAATACGCCTAATAAGCAAACCCTTGCAGAAAAGTTTTAAAAATTTTCATTACAAGCACAAGAGTTATTAAGCTTCAAACAGGGTTAACAAAATCGTTCCCCATACAAACATACTAACATAAATACATACAGAAATTATTCTCGAATTATTTTGCATTTCTCGACGTTGCAAGGTGACCTAAATTCAAAAATTTTTAAATCTAAGATATATTTTAAAGTTTTATTTTCAGTACGTGTATATGGAGGAGATGCATTTTGCTAGTAAAGCAGAATATATGAAAAATACAATGTTTTTTTGGATATAAAAATCCTCGTTTAATTAGGTCTCGTGGATCAGTGGCAAATAGAGATTTAGAGAAATCATTATCGGGCATCACAACTGAACTAATTTCGTGAATTAAATAATTAAAAAAGAATTAAATATGAATATTTTATATGACAGTTATTAAACCTGCCAATTCAATATAAATGGAAGCAAAATATTATATGGAATTGAAAGAAAATGAAAATTTGCTTGATAATTCAACTACGCTTGTTGGAGAACAATAAAAACACTACACTCAACAAGCCAGGAACAAAACTCAACTGCCTAACCTATAACCAAAAGTCTCCTTTTAATTTGTTTTTTTAAAAAAAGCGCTTGACAAACTTGCCCCGCATGCCGAAGTTGCCCCGGTCTCCCCCATATAAGTTTCAATAATCAAAATTGCATAGGGCAAGTAGCTTGTAACTCTATACAAAGTTTTTCATTCAACAGACTTTGCTTACAACATTAATTACTGCAGCTTATAACAATTACAAGCGTTTAATGCTACAGGTTTATGATTTGGATTCAAGCAAGATTTCGCTGACTATTGCGTCTACCATCAAAATAACTTCAATTTGTTTTACTTAGACCCGGGTTTTATCTGCAAAAAATTCGCAAATGTTAACATAATTACAACGGTTTTGGAAGTATTGGACACTACACTGTACATACATATAATTAACAATATAAAATTTATATCAATTTCTGTGAATTAGTTAAAACACTAGATTCGATTTTTTAGTTTAATTTTCTATACACGCTTAGTAACAATTAAATAACGGAAAGTATACTTACTGTTTTGACAAAAATAAATAAATCTTCCTTTACTATCTGGTTTTGGTAAAATTTGAATAAAATTCAGAGACAAAACATGTTCCAATTTAGAAGGAAGAAGATCCTTAAAATACTGAGAATACTCTATTCTGACTTCATAATAATTCTTCAGCATTTTCAAAGATCTTTGCATGTCATATTTTCTAGCACGAAGAATTCCAAGAAGAAAGATATCATCCATGCGACATTTTATCCCTTGATCTCCTGTTTAAAATGTAAAATATAATGTATTATTATGTTTTAATGTAATGAATTTTTACATAAATATGTAATATTTATAAAAGCCGAATATATTTTAATTTCTTAATTAATATGGAAAACTGTCTATTATTCAGTAATTAATCTGTGTGACATATCACATTTTGTAAAGTTCATTATACTTGATCTTTATGCACCTCTGAATCAAATCATACACAATTGATAATTTTAATAGCGTGATTAGTGTTTTAAATTTAAATATACGTGCACAGATAATAAATAACAGAAAATTAAATACAAGTTTCTGTAAGTTTAAATATACAGTATTGTCTAATAACGAATGTAAAAAAAAAACTTTATTTGCAATTTACATATGCTGTTTTTGATTACTTTAATTATTATAGTAAATGTACAAAAAAGCTTTATTAAAGTACAAAAAAGATAATAGTTACTTCTTTATGTTTAAAAATGTCTCAACATTAAAATCTTTGATATCACATAATTTAGTTTAATTGAAAGTTTTGCAATAATTTTAACATTAATGTCTGTACATACAATCAAGAGTTAGTGAAATTATATCAAGTTTTAGATGAAATGTCTATAACTGTAGTGTCTACTCGCTCTCATAACAACAAAACAAATTTTAGACTAATTAGACTTTGTGATTAGTTTGTGATAAAAGGTTTGTGATTGGTCGGAAGGTTCCCGTCCAAAACAATTTCTTAAATTGCTGAGCGAACGGGAGCGGGAGGAGAGAAAGGCAAAAGACTGGTAACACGGTAGTCTCAGGCACTTGGAAAGCCGCTGAGCTTAGAGAGAGTATTCTTCTCTGGTAAATATCTCAGGGACGGGTAAGTGCGGAGACTGGACGGTCTGTGCAGTTGAATCAACTCCACAAGTTGACTGAGGCCTCTCCAAGGTTTAATAGTTTCCGGAACCAACGGTTACACTCGGAAACCAACTCAACGAGACGAAGTTTGAGGAAGATCTTCACTGATATAAGAATAAGCTTAAATTGTATGATAATGTTTAGTAAGTGCAGACCTCCGGTGTAAGCATGGAGGTATTTTCACTGCTGTACAATACATAACAAATCAAGTTATGCTCGTCTGTACATCCCATCATGGTGTAATGACTCTTACAAATATAAACTTTCAGCATTCAGAGCACTGATTAGAATAGTTTTTTTTTTGTATTGTTCTAATATACAGGATCACATAAAAGAAATCAATGAAACTAAAGAAATTGCAACAACGTTAGAATATAGAACACCGACCCTAGAAGGAGTCATCAGGAGTTATTAAGTAAATAAAGATAAAACTAAAATAACATCAATAAAATCAATAAATTTGCATACACAAATTATTTATTTATCTTTTGTCAACTTTGATTTTATTTTTGTGTCATAGTTTTTAACGTATAATTTATAAATTTTGTTTTTTACTTTTATTTCTATTTTGTTATTCTTCATAATTTATTTATTTAATTCCTGTAATTTCAAGTTTTTATTTAGAATAATTCAAATGTAAACATTTAATCGGAATGTTTTATTTACGCAAAGTTTTCCTAAAATTAATGGACTATCGCATGCATACAAGAAAGACACGAAGAGTTTAGTGGGCAGAAAAGAGAGTGTGGCCGCCAGCGCCAGAGATCCTGAACACTTGCCAAGATCACGAACTCTGTCTGGCAACACTTGCCAACAAGAGTGGCTGGCAACGTCAAAAAGAAAAGGCGCGAAAAAGTTCGTTGGATTTTGTCCGGGTGTTGCCCGAGGATGTCTGTGACAGTTCTAACCTTTTGTAGTAAAGTTCTTTTTTGTTACTGTTCGTGTTTGCCTGCTTAATGTTAGATCTAAACATCAGTAGGATTGAATGACAAAAGAGTAAGAAAAAGCGAGAAGGAGGGAGAGGAGATAGACAGTAGAGAAAGAGAGGATCTTTCTGAACGACGTACTGTACAGTACATATGGATGACTACAGTACCCTCTGTTTGATGTTGGCGTGCAGTTTTTAGGCTGCAAAGCGGTAGTCCCCCGAAAGATCTAAAAAATCCTGAGTGTAGTAAACGCCAAAAATTGAGTGCCGCCACGAATAGCTAAGTGAACAAGTTAGTGCCAATTGGCTGTGACTGGAAATACTTGTGTCTGCTTAATACTAATAAAACTGAACGCGATTGCAAATCTTAATACTACTTATTAGCTAGACAGACAGCGCGAAAAGCATACGAACACAATGACAAAATAAACAAGACGAACGAACCGACATGGATAAACAATCAAACCCCCAAATTTTTTTAAACATTAACTTACTGACTAACTACGCTAACCCACAATAGCTTAGAACAAACCTAATCAGTTGATTAATTAATTAATTAAAAAGCTAATAAATCAATCTAATTTAACCTAACCTATCATAACCTAACCGTAAACCGGAAATCCTACTTAGGCTACAATTAGGACTAACCGAATTTAGACTGAAAAACAGACAGATAATAAGAATTAAAATACAAAGCTGATAGGCAGCTATATACCGACAGTTGAAACAAAGCAAGGGAAAGCTAATTGCCATCGGTGCCTCCGGAATGAGTGCTCTCAAGAGTACCACTTAGAGATATGAATGCGAGTAAATGATGAAACATTATACGCGTGTGAATGAGTTGGTGCGGGTTGCAAGGCCAGTTGTACCCTTTAAGAATAGCAGCTCTCATTAACCTATCCCTAATGTGATTGTACTGTATTTATTGCAGCGAAAAACTAAGTTAATTTAAATGGTGTTTGGTCCTTCTGAATACTGCAATCGCACTGTGTATTGTCCCCAATATTAAAACTATGGAAGCATTGCTTAAAGTTGCGTCCTGTAAGTAGCTGAGTGAGAGTGTAACTAGGGTAAAAGTGGCGAAGAATCGCAGAAGTGTCAAATTTGGGGATGAAAGTGTCGATGAGCCTACCAGTGGTGTCTTGGTCCTAGTTGTCTTGACAGAGTATGAAGATTTGCTCCTTGACGTGATGTACGAGGTAGGAATATAACTAAAAGTAGCCTACTAGTGACTGAAGACTTTGCAGCTTGTTTGGCAAGACGGTCAGCGGTCTCTTTGCCAAGAACCCCCGCATGACCCGGGCCCATCGAAAATCTAATCTAATATTGTTGTCTAAGTGAGAACGTGGTGTACGAGATCGACAAGTTTTAAGCGGCTATCGGACTTCTCAATCCTGTGTAAAGCTACCCTACTTTCAGAATAAATGCGATGGTGTAGGTAGTGTCTTTTGTCCTTCCTATGCCTAATGTGAATTAAAAGTATATACCTCGTAAATAGCTTAAGTTTCCGGCTGTGCTATTGAGCAGTGTGTACCTAGAACAAAGCAAGCGTTGTGAAGCTCGCGACCTAAGTCGGTGTAAACTACAAAGGAGCACCCACATTATCACCCATCTTGGAACTGTCAGTTTAAATCCTAAACATGGGATGATCATCTGGATCTTTGAAGTAAACGTCAGGGACAAGCTGATGGGAGGGGTAGTAATTGTAAGTCAGGAGGATATTTTTGTCGATGCTGAATGTTTTGATATCATCGATCAAGGTCAAACTTGTGGAATCTTAACTACTCTAATAATTTTGTCGACATCCGAAATCAACAATCTTCAACGATGTTTTGAATAAGTGTCAAGAAAAGTTAAACATATGGTTATTAATGGGGGAAAAGACGTTAAAATCGCTTAGATTGTGAGGTAAGAAGAGTCACAACACCTCGTTGTTGACGTCTAAGAACTTCGAATTTGTTCCCTTATATGGTAAAAAGAGTCAGGACACCTCGGCCGTACCATGGACGGATCACGAACTTAGAGCCACAACAGTAAGTCACTGGAGCAAGAGTCGCACACTCCAGAGGATAAAAAGGGCTCGAACTGGAGAGTCTAGGCGGACACTCTTCCTGGAGACTTAAAAGACCAAACCTCTGTCCGTCACCTCTTCCGTCTCCTGTCTCTCCTCCGGAAGCAATCTTCAAGAAAGATCCCCGAGCGTCTCGCCGACCTTCAAATAAATTGGATCCGAAGACAACTGATTGACTACACGAGGAACTATTTAGATTTTTGCAAACTCTCTCTCTCTCGGTCAATTATTATAAGGACTTAGAGATAACATACGGAATACATAAAAATGTGTTATCCCACGAAGCCGATATTTGTTCTTGTACAGTACATAGATTTAGTTGCTTCAGTGGATTCTTTGTTTTATTTTATTAAACTGTTAATATTTGTTTAACCTGATCTCGTGTGGACTTATTAGACGCCGACCAATCCTATCGCGACTTATTCGTGACTTCCCCACTCGACTTATAGCTCTCCTAGAAATCCAGTGACAACGTGAGCGGGTTTCACCAACCCGTCGCCTAGGGGTTTAGAGCAGCGTTTCTCAAAGTGGGCGATAACGCCCCCTTGTGGGCACTGGAGGCTTTCAGGGGAGCAGTAGAAGACTCAAAGAGAATTGGGGGGCGTTAAGGAAATATAGAGGGGTGACGGCAGACAAATTCTATATATAAAAATTCGACGGAATATATATAAAATGTTGACATTTTACATATTTTTTATTTTTTATTGAAGGTCACAACTTGAATATTTCTAACACATTGACTTTTATTTTAGCTCAGCGTTTCTCAAAGTAAGCAATAACGCCCCCTTCTGGCGCGATGAATAGATCTATGATAGAGGCAGG